TTTTTTCGAGTAATTATTTATGTTTAACCATCCCACAATAAAAATAAACTTTGCGGTAAATGATTAGATAAAATACTTGTAATTACAAACGTCAATTAAACTATAATATATAAGAAATAAAACAGAAAATAAAAACTATTAACAAAACAAATACGACAACTTCGATTTATTTATTATATTGTAACAATGTTGTACAATTAGCCTAATTTATTCACATATCTATCAGTATCTCCTTTATAACCGAGAGCAGAGTGAACCCAGATAAGACAAAGTACAGATTTGTGTTGGTTTGGAAATCAACATGCAGGCCTGTGTTCATTGCCAAACACTTGTCTTTACGTCACTGTACGTCTCTCGGCACACAGCCGACAACATGTGGAAAAGGTAATTTTATAACGAGCTTTCTTGTGTTTTGGTGTAAAAAAATTTCTTTGAATGCAATTGCAATCAACACATACAATTAATTATAGAAATTACATTAAAGCGGGGGAGATGTCACCTGCGCATGCGTCAGATGGACATAGCGTGTCATTGTCCACAGACGAGCGTCTACCCATGAGCCTTTGCGTTTATAGCGTGAGTCGTTATCGTCGCTTGGGACTCAATTTCCGCGCGTGCGCAGGTGACGACCCTCCCGCTTTAAATAACTGCAATCGATCGTCTAAGTCAAACTATGGCAGCCATACTGTCACGTGATGTAGACTGTTCAGCTGACCACGAAATTTGAACAGACTAGATGTACAAAATAAAAAAAAGACACCAGTGGTCGCCGCGCCCTGTTCAATATGGGACTCATAGCGACGTATACAACGCGTGTAAAATACATTGTTTGTTTACATAAAATTGTAACAGCGCTGCGCGACAATCTTTAAGTGAAATTTTATGAGCTTGCATTCAGAATCAATATAATCCATGGCCAAATGTAGGTAAAAAGAAAATGATTTTTACACCGCGAGTATGGGAACACGTGTATACACAATTTGTCGCCGCGCCCAATTTTTATCCGACTACGCCCACTTTAACCCCAAATTTGAGGGCGGACCAAAACTCAAAATTCATGGGAGGCAATTTTGCGAAATTGAGTTAGTAACTCGAAGTTTGTTAACGCTACTGTGTAACCTTATTACAGTCTAGATGTTTCAGTCACGTGATCAATTCAATTGAAATCGCTTCACCATCGTACTTTGACATTTTTTTCACCAAATCATAGACCATAGACCAACTAATCGAAAGCAAATTCTTATTATTTTTTTTATTAAATTCGACAATGGTACTATATTAACCAATATCGTACAAACAAAATATCGTTTTAGATTAAACCATTATGATGGGATATTAGTAAATAAAGTTCCGTTGTCGGATTAAAAAAAAATTGAGACAAGAGGCGTTAACGAACCTATCTAGAAGTCGCGAAATGGTCTTCATGAATTGCGAGCTACAATTTTGCTGTCCCTCCCCAAAATGGGGTAAAAGTGGGGGCGTGATCGTGTCAAAAGTTGGTGTGTTCAGGCAACTCGAGAGCGGGCGCGGTCTACAACTATTGCAGCCCCGACTGGCATTCATATTTTATAAGTTTGTGTATTGAGCAATAAATTAATACTAGTACACCATTTTTACAAATCGCGACCTCTAGTGTCAGAGCGCTTCAATGACGTGAAAATGGCGTGTAGGGGTAAGGTCAATGTCGTTTAAATCGACAACTATATTTGGTTCTGTAGTCGGTCGTCATCTAGAATATAGACACAGTCAGATCTCGCAAACACACAATCTTCATTGATGGATTACTAGCGGTCAAAACGATATTAATACTTCGAGCGCATTCACATCGCGTCGTCACCAGAGGGCGCGATTTATAGGAAAGGTGTATTATACCTGAGAAATGCAACGCATAAAACGTTATCAAGCAAATAGATCAAAGACCAGGTAAGTACTGACCACACGTTCAGCTCGTAACACGCATGTAAAGTTCTGCATTTCAAATCAGAGAATTTGAATAAGTATCACTTCGATTACATATATTATACATTTGTTTGTCATTAACTACAACATGAATCGGTAAATCTATAAATACAGTAGAAAGAAATTTGCTCGATGAAACAACAACAACAACAACAACAACAACTTGATTTAAAAATCTGTAAAGTACATGTTATTATGGCAGTGTGTCCACCAAGTATGCCACGGTCAAGGTCTTTCCATTTATTTTTAGCCGTTTCACCGTCACGGTACGTGCACCCTCTTAGATGTGTCACTATGTTTAGGACCAGTGTAGGGGCTGACTGTGGGAACAGTGTCGTGTTTTGTTACTTCGTGGATAGCGTGGGCAAGATAGTGATTATTCTTGGTTGTTATGCCAGCCACAGAGATTCTCCCATCGTTTGTGAGGTAAATACCAAACTCCTTCTTGATTCTGTTCACCTGAAACGCATTAGGATTGCTAACATTATCGTTGTTTTGGGTTTAAACAAAAATTAGCGATATTTGTATCCGTGTAGAAACATGAGAAGGAACTACGTACATCGTTAATTTCTTAAGAAAAGTTCAATAAGCAAATATTCTTACAAAAAACAGAACCGTTCGACTGTTGACGCAAACGACCTTCGGGGTCTCGTTGAGGGTGAGATTATCACGAGATTTGTTTTTGCTTCTCGAATTAAGTTTTATTTTCTTCCATTTATCACGTCCACTTTTCTAAATACCATGGGTCATAGGTCATGGGTGCAGTTAACGTGGTGGCGAGTGCGAATGAAATACTATTTGATGGTCAAACAATTCGTTGGTATTGTTGTTTACTCGACGAGAACTCGGTAGTCATTTGCATACGTCTAAGGTTATTTGTGTCTAATATTTACCCAATGGGTAATGCTCTTACCTGTTCAGTTGTGAGTCCAGTATAACAGAACATGCCAATCTGATCAGTGATATGTTGCCAGTTACGAGTCGATCCTTCTTCCTCTAGGTTCTTCACGAGTTGTTGGCGCATGAATATGATTCTGTTGGCCATACCTTTCAGTTCCCTGAGCCTATAAGTATATAGAAGTATATTATTGATTTTACAAACGTTCATTTCACCACGTGGTATTGGCTATATATAAATGATATCGCATGTTAAACCACATATCAGATTAATAAACCAAAATATAATGAACACAACTTGTTCTGTTTTTGGAAATTACTACACGAGTGGTCAACATTTAAAAAATTAAAAACGATCATACCAGTTGTTTTTATTTATATGAAACTATCTGCAGGTAAATGGGAAAATATGAAAATAAATGTTTTCGCACGTCATAGCTTTGAGCGTTATACGTGTACACAATTTGCATAGCAATATACAACTATCCATGACGTCACAGAATATTTCATTCTGAGTTAGATTCATAAATGGTATATGCAAAGTCATTTGAGATCGTTCCGATTTCATGATTCAACTTTATTTGTTGTCTATTGATTAACTAATTAATGATTGATTGTTGTCCGCGTGCACAGAGCCAGCGTCCACTACAATCTACAACCTTCATAGAAGTATACATGACAATAAAGAAAGTCATGTTTTACTTTAATTTTCGCTGAAAAGGTGTTTTTTTAATATGATATTTATTTTCACTGAAATTTGATAATTTGAATGTAACTCAGGATGTTTTTTTTACTGACTTAAGTGGAGGCGTCGTGACCTGCGCACGCATGGGAATTGAATTCAAAGCGACGACAATAACGCACGCTAAAAACGCAAAGGCTCATGGGTAGACGCTTCTTTGTGAACAACGACACGCTATGGCCGTCTGCCGCATGCGCAGGTGACGACTCCACCGCTTTAAATTCTAATTGAAGTAATTTAATCCGTCCCTGCATAAAATATTAACAAGTCACGTGACATAAACTGCATCGTCTGTTGTGTCTGCAAAACATAGAAGCAACTTATATATTACACTCGTCCACAGAATTATAGCATGTATGTATCACACACGCTATTCTGTCCCTCGCTGTACTACATCCTGCAGGGCAATGCAAAAACCAAAAGACTAACGCAAATACATTTTTTAACAAATAATCTGTTCATATCTTACCACTGGCTTTTCAGTTTGGGTGTATTCAAAATGGTCGCCACGATACGAGGACCACTGAGGGGTGGGGTGGTATACATTGCCCGTACAATGACCTTCAGCTGAGATTCCACGCGTTTTGCTTCTTCCTCGAACTCACAGATAAGTGTAAATGCACCAACACGCTCACCTGGTACCAGAAAGAACAAATAATATGTTGTGTTTGTTTTAAAATACATCTTGTTAAAAACAATATAGGATGATTTATTTATAAAAAGAAGACTAGTTATTTTGGTAGCAAACATAGCAGTACGCTTTTAAGGCGATAATGAAATGCGCACGCCTTTCAAATTAAATGTACGTACATGTAAATTCGGGCGCACGCGCACTGTTTTACATTATTTCATTCATACCAAATTTGTATCCAAAATAGCGTTTTCAATTTACGATTTTTGTTCATATCAAGATATATAACACGAGACAGAGTTGCTTAAACATGCTTAAAAATACGCTATGTTAAACTCGTTGCCTTCTTTATCGTGTTATGCCAGGCATATGTGCGTTCTATGTGGTCAAAGTACGAAATTAACGTAAGTATTTAATGGTAACTTGCCATATAGTCCCATATTCTTAGAGTATGATTGTGCCAACGCAAGAAGGTGTCCATCTTCGGCAAATATTCTAACAGCCGCCGCATCCTTATCAATGTCACCACTCGCAAAGCCTTGGTATGCCATGTCAAAGAAAGGCAATAAGTTACGAGCCTAGCGGAAAACAAACACACATAGCAAATAAGTAATAATAAATGTTATTATACATGTCCACAGCTATCGCCCGAGGTTGTGATATACCATGCAGTGGCAACACGTGATTGGCAAACAAATTTAAATATTTTTTTTTTAAATTTAACAACATAATTACACATTACAACGTAAATAGTCTAATAAATTATGTTTGTGTAACTTGTATTACCTTTACTATTTCAGATATCATTTTCCACTGTTGAGGCTGAAATATTAAAAATAATAACTTTTATAATGTACACTCCGACATTTCAGCAGAGATTACGCAACAAACAGTTTATGCGGTCACAAACGGGTCAAACCTTACCGACTAGGGATCTATTGTCAAAGCTTCTGGATATCTAATCATCTCGGTAAATAGAACATACATCAAACATTATGCGAAATTAATAATGAAGAAAATGTACCACGAGAATACATATATCCTACAAAATTCTGTTTTACGTTATTTGAGTATTGAATATACGTAATAACGGTTTATTTACGCACTACTTACATTTGGGTCGACTCCGGTTGGGTTATGCGCACACGCATGGAACAGAATGATGGAATTCTTTGGGATGTGCTGTTAGAAATGAAATAAAAACACGATAAATAAAACGTATGAAACAATTTTTGCGAAGCGATCAATGGAGAATTACTGGGTACTCACAGATATATCTTCATAAGCTCCCTCGGCATCAAATCCACGCGTATTTGGGTCATAATATCGATATTGATCAAGTTCTAATCCAGCGTATCTGTAATAATACATTGGAACAAAATAAATAATCAATAAATTTGGAATAACGAAATCAAATATATTGATGTGCATTTTGAGAAATTGTAATAACACGCATACTTAAAGATGAGCCTATGGTTTCCCCATGTAGGATTCGGCAGCCATATGTCTTTTGAGCCAGGAAATAACCGTCCAAAGAGATGAGCTCCGACACAGAGAGACCCAGTACCGGAAATACCTTGCACTGTCACATTCTAGTATGTAAGAAGTGAAATAAATGTATAATTAATTCATCCACCCACTGACAAACACATATTTTGTTAAGAATAATATAACGCCACATTCCGCGTACCAGTGTGTCAGTGTGATCACGATTCAAATCAATTGTACCAGGGCTGTCGCGGATTGGGAAGATTCGGCCAATCAAATTGTCGCTGTGAATACCTGCAACTTAATTTAGTAGTCAAGATGTTGCATATTCCGAGTAGTCGGTGCTTTGATTTCCAATTCCATGCCAAAACTAGGTTAGGATATATAACCACGGAAACTCTATAACGCCATTGTTCAATTCAAGACAGCCGTGAAATAAGGAATTATATCCTCACTGGATGCCTTGTAATTGTTGGGACGTTCTAGCATATCATGTTTGTTTTGAGTCAAGAAAAGTATGCTTCCTGAATGCGCCTTGCCAGAATAGCTAACCCAAATTCGCGTTGTTTTTCTTTAAGGCACCAAAGCTCACCAAAGTGCTCAGCCCCACCCACCCCAAGCGTAGATACGAAAGTCAAAGTTGTTGTCACCATCACAAAACCAGACCCACATAATTATTGAATTATTGTTTTAATGTTTTTCACAAACGTTGACCAAGACCTCTATAATAATCTTTATTTCGTGCATTTCGTGTATTTGGCGTAAAAAAATGGCGTTTAAATTTATCTTTTCGTACCTTTTTACTTTTCAAGACTTCACTGTCGTCGCCGAATGCAAGCAATGCTGAAGCCTCTGTAAATTCAGATAAACCAGTTATGCTAAGATATTCTTTGTCAAGGTTTCTTTCTCGGATAATATCTTCTGCCTGTTTTACACATAGAAAATGTGTTTGACAGTGATAGTTCACAAGTATGTATAAACGTACGTATCACACATTCCAATTAAATATATAGTTTAAATTAAAGACCTTGGATCAACTGGCCGCGTGATCTCGTCGTGAGTGAGATTGGAGAAGACGCGAGACTCGTTTTTGCCCCCAGTGTTCCATTCTATTCTGTCAATAAGTAATTTTCTTTAACTGCGAGAGCTCGCATGATGCGGAAGGGTGCGAACCGAACGTCTGCTGCGATTTGAACTTGAATTTCTTGTTTTATAGTTCATAGTCGAAATGCAGAGGTACCAGAAAGAAATTTGGCGTTGAGATACACTTCTGCAAAACTGACCATCATCAAATGGGTAAAGCACATTACTAAACGTTGAGATGCCCCCAAAACAGTTTCCCGATTGTCGAATCTCACACATAATTTGTCGTTTCACTACGGCCTTTGTTTGTCCTGTTTTTTTTTTAAAGTTCGAATTCACGCATTACGCGGGATCTCGCAGTGAACGACAAATGGTCTCTGTAACCACAGCAGACGCAATGATTAGAACATTTTTGAAGTGGGATCACGCGGCCCCCTCACTCTCAAGGAGATCTCGGCATTTGCGTCTAATCTTGTAACTAATTTAGTTTACCTTCCGCACACTGGGTAACACGTATGGTCTGCCAAAATTATCACGATAACACCCAGCACCCAAGTTCATCTTGTTAGGGTTAGTGTCCAACTTGAACTCGTCATTAATACCAAGGATGGGATCTGGTGCGCCCATAAGGACATAGTTCCACCAAGAGCTAGTAATACAAACATGGGTTTCTGTAATTCATAATCAACTCTCACAATAATAATTTCTAATACATCATTCCATACATTTTGTTTAAAAATTTTGATTTAAATCTGTACCCAATGGGATTTTTTGTCCATTATATATCCATAATAATATAATACCGACAATCATCGGTACGCAAGTTGAGGTGAAACTTCAATATTTTTAACATTGATTTGTCAGAAATGTAATTCAGTATGGATGAATGTATGCAAATTATATACCGGTATAAGTTGTTTGGTTGTTTAGAGTGTTAAAGCGGGGGAGTCGTCACTGCGCATGTGTCATATGGCCATAGCGTGTCATTGTTTACAAACCAGCGTCCACCCATGAGGCTTTGCGTTTTTTGCGTGTGTTGTTATCGTTGCTTGGGACTCAATCCCCGCGCGTGCGCAGGTGACGACCCACCCGCTTTAACCAAATAAAGAAGAAGTAATTATTATGCTAGGAAAACGCTCATCAAATAACGGGGAATGATTGTGCAATATGACTTTCTGAAAACGTGTTTGAGTATGTACTCGTAAATGTATGTGTTTATCAGCCCACACCACTCGAGCATAGTCGTACACTGTCATTGAGACCGATCTAGGTGACCCAGTTAGTCCAACCATTTCAGGCAAGTTTTTGAGGAGAGATATTTGTGTACAGTCTTCCCAAACAGTATGAGGGAGGGATTTCACTTGGATTTGGGTGGGAATGTAAACCGGTCTAAAAACGAACGACTTAACGCTCAAACATTGTCGTTTGTCGCCAAAAACGACCTACATTTTGGTAAAATGCCCACAAATTACAAAAATATTCATAAAAATTAGAGAATTGAAGAGATCATCATGAAATGAACAAATCTGAGAGAAATCTACATGTAGTACCTATATGTATAATATCAAAGCAATTGGACTTGTGGTTTTCAACAAAAAGTCGAAAATATCACTTTTTATCAAAAATTACAAAAATATTCACCAAAATTAGGGAATTGAACATATCATCATGCAATGAACAAATCTGAGAGAGGTCCAGATGTAGTACTTATTTGTGTAATATCAAAAAATTTGGACTTGCGGTTTTTAACAAGAAGTCGAAAATATCACTTTTAATCAAAAATGACAAAAATATTCATCAAAATTAGACAATTAAAGATATCATCATGAAATAAACAAATCTAAAAGAGGTCTACCCAAGGTACATATACACCAAATATCAAAATACCCAGGCTTGTAGTTTCCAGGAAGAAGTCGAAAAAATAAAACATTAACACAGACGACGGACGACGATAAACGACGGCGGACGTCGACGGAAAATCTCACATATGACAAGCCCCGCTCGACAAAGTCGACAGCGGAGCTAAAAAGATCCATTCAGCGAAGTGGTGCAACACCACGGGTTTCAACAAGTCGGTCTTATTTACCGATTGGCCGTATAAACAGCTTCTATTCGTACCAACAATAGATTGAGAATACTAGTAATATAAGGAAGACACCGTGACCGCAGCATCTTACAAAACTCAGTATAGTCACATCACACGAAGGTATACTCACCTGGCCCTGGTAGGGCTCACGTAAATTGTAGTCTTCACAGTGTTATACTTTAATACTCGGCACACCAGAAATCCGGTCCGGTTACGAACAGCCATTTTTCCAAATGGCTTTGACTCGAATATACCAGTAGCGGAGACAACCGGATGAGATTAGTGTAAATATACTGTTGTTTACACTTTCACGTAATTGGACCGCCGACCAGTCACTCAACGCCGCGTTACAGTCATACCTACTAGATGTATTCGACTATTGCCAGTATGCTCGTATACCACAGTGCGTCTTCGTCAGCCAAGGTTCGTATATTCGGTCGTCGCGTCGATTCGGACGATGACCGTAGTGGTGGAGTAACTGAATACAAGGCAAGGGTTTAGGGTTCAACCTAAACAGACAATTCTATTTTTCACAAAGGGGCTTTCGCACGTCAGATGATCACATGACTAAGGTAAACCCTAGACCTTATGTTTTCTAAGGTCTATGGGTAAACGTACTTCATTCTGTACTGCGACAACAAACACTTACGTAGCCGTTTTGGAGAGTACATGTACAACGGGACTAATTGTATTCGTCCCATATTGTCACATACATCAATATATTGTACACCATAGTCTTCGTCAAACAAGGTTCGTTTATTCGGCCAACGCGTTGATTCGGACGCTGACCGCAGTCACTGTGGTGGAGACACTGAATCGCAGTCCCTCAATATGGGACTGGAGGGACTGTGACTGAATTCAAGGCGAGCTGACATTTCGGGGTTCACCCTATTTCTCACAAAGGGGTCTTTCGTCACGTCATATGATCACATGACCAGGGTCAACGTAAGTCATACCATGGAAGGTAGTAATAATAATTTTATTAACACTTACACATTCCCGAAGGGAAGCTAATACATTACAGAGAATAGCAAGTATAATATTATGATATGAAGGTTGTAGTCCATGGTCATACCACAGTCCCGGTGTTGAGGGACCGTGGTCATACCTTACAGAGACAACAAACACTTAGGGGGCCGTTTGGGAGATTACATTACATTTGCAACGGAACTAATTTTATTCTTTCCGTATTGTCACATTTGTTATTTAAAACCGATTTAATTCTGTTTGGATTTCAATGGTTCACGCACGTTACAATAGATGTACCAGACGTTGACAATCAACAAGGTCACGCATATGTGCCCCGGGGTAGGTACTCGTTTATATTTTGTACTAGTAGTTTGGAGCAGTGAGCTACAATTTACAAAGCTCCCTGTTTGGAGGAACTCTATGGTATGGTTATTACATGGGGATTTCAGAACTGATAAAGTGATACTGAATTTATCTACGCCACAGCGCTAATAATGCACCCGGTGTGAAATAAAATTCTAGATTATCTCAGAATGGACTATCGTCGTATTTGTGGGCCGCGTTTACTTGGACGTCACTGTAGTGCCCACCGGAATGTCTAGACGGCAGTACATTTATTTATAGACATTCTACAACAACAAAACAAGGACATGACAGATATATCCCCGTGCGTTCGGTTGAATTATTCGAGTGCAGTAATATTTCAGCGCAACATCAGGAAATCAGAAACGCATAACACATATTAGAAACTGCAGTGTAATACAATATAGTAATGCTGTGTTTGAATGAAAGTGTTGTATACAAAAAGAATTATGTTAACTTACCTCGCTCTGATGGACGACACATGCATCAATCTATTTAGCTTGTTACATTTCAACGTCACAGTTAACGTATTTTTCACACAGCCCCGTACAGCCATGATTGAATGTGTTGAGCATGTGTCTATTATTATTAGTACACTCTTCCTATGGATAATTGACGAGGTCGAATAGATCGGGACCTGTCTGGTTAATAGGTCGGAACCTGTCTGGTTAATACTTCAAATAGTGAATACGTAAATTAAATGCGTCTACATTTTCGACTCGCGCATGTGCTACATCTGTGTTGATGAACATTGATTTTCCCACAATCCCATGCGCTCTTCAAATGGAAATCACAAATATGAGGTATGACCTGGGCGCGACTTGCACTGAATACCGCCGGTGACTGCTTTGAACCTTCCAATCACCTAAAAATACCCAATTGAAGCTTGGAAACGTCTTTAGATATATCGCCATCTTTGTTTATATGAGACCCATATATTGCACGCATTTGTGACGTGACGACTACTGCCCTTTAAAACTATTTAATCGTGGCGTCAATCAAATTCAATGGCAATTTAACATATACTAAATAATCAGTTGAGCCTGGAATGTTAAGTTGACTGAACCGTGCCCTGAATATACCGAGGTAACTTATGGGGTATAATGTGTTCGTACTCGATTAATTTCAGAAAATCATTGTTTGTCCTAGCTTGTAAATTAGACAAGGAACCATTTATTCCCCACCCACAGACAAACGCACCCACACCCTAGAACCACTACGGCAGTATGTACGTACGTACGTCCGGAGCTATATCTCGGACACCCATTGACGGATTTCATTCAAACTTTACATGAAGACAATACATAATGTCTTACATATGCGCGTCAAGTTACTTTATGTAAGTGCACGACAGTTTATTATTGGAAAAAAAGAAAATAAAGGACTGAGTATAAGTGTACGTGAAGAGAAAGTCTGCTCAACATTTTCGACAAGGATTCCTTGCCTGACGTTACGTCTCCTCATCGCCGGGCTCTTTAAGTCTAGAGTGCGTCTCTGAGCGAAAATAAGC